AGGTGCGAGCCCTTATTCTATAAAAGGGACTCCCTCACCATCATTAGAGAGCATCCCACCTGCTGAGCAACCGCATCGCCGCGAGCATCAACTCTAGCCCATCATTTATGTATTGAGGAGCGAGCCCTTATTCTATAAAAGGGACTCCCTCACCTTCAACGTCACAAGCTGAGCCAACCAAGGCAACATAAGCCACAAGCCGAGCAGCCTCACAACATGTGCTTCTTCTAGTTGAGCATCATTTCACATTAAGCACCGCCTCATATCGAGTATCAGCTCTAGACGACATCTAGTTACTTCGGCCCACACATGGACTGAATTTCAAGTCTCCAGCCAAAAGACTCTCTTGACTGAAGACTTGGGGGACTACTGCTTGTACCATATTTAGGGCCTCCGTATTTAGACTTCGTATAAATACTCGGGGGACTCAAATGTAATTATGTAATAAATGAAGGGGCAAATATGTAATAAGTGGGGAACCCTTATTCTATAAAATGACTCCTCACTCTCCTCATTAGAGGTCAAGGTTTAGGCCATGGAAAGAGAGAAAACATCTCAGAGAGGACAAACACAGAAAATAGGCTAGAGAGCACACTGCCTCTAGCCTTCTTGTATATTCACCATTCAGAGTGAAACAATATCAACATCAGTGTGGACGTAGCTCAAACATTAGGGGTGAACCACGATATATCTTTGTGTTCTTGGGCGTTTCCATGATTCACGGTCGGATTTACGTTGTTCCAAGACCTTCCGGTTTTGTGCATCAACACTTTATGGCAAAACATAATTTTCTATTGATTTTGAATTTTCTTCTACTGGTTTGTTGGGGGGGGGGGCGGTATAATTTATCTTCTAATAATTTTTTTATCTTTTAATATTTTCAATTTCACAAATTATGGGTTTTATTTAAAATCTCATTAATACAAACAATTGCAAATTTCAATTTTTGAGATAAAAAATATATAATAATCGACATGGAATTAACATATAGAAATGTCAAACCAATAATATTTGAGTCATAGAACATTGATAACTAGAAACCACATTTAAAGTCTTCCTTGTTTTTTTACAGCCCAAGGGGGGAAACACGCATATATACTTCTTTTGTAGAGATGATTCAGATGAATGAAATATGAAAGGGTTCCATTGATATCTTAGTTCTTAAGGATACTAAGACTCGGATCAATTATCCAAAGTTGGATTTGAGATTTATCATGTGGTGGTGGTGTTACTCTTTTCCGAGCTTACTTTTGGAACAGCCGTCTTGTTTCAGCTGAGCCAAATGGCAAATGTGCAATGGTTTGCATACCAAACAAAATGAAATTTTGTAGGCCAGCTTCTCCTTTAATTGCTCATGATTTGATATAAGGGTAACCTGCTGAAATAATCAATATATAGCCATGATATATTATTTTTGAGTATGACCTTCTCAATGTGTATATATGGATGAAAAAATGTTATGGATTTCACATTTTTATACCATGTGTGTATATATCACATCTTTATCTCGTTGTATATTAATAACGTTTGTTGTATATATCAGTTGTCACATCAAATGATAAAGAAAATATCTATGTATATATAGTATGCTTTTCGATTCATGAACACCTGTGAAAGATAAAAAAAAAAGGAATGAAATTAAAAGCAATAATCAAAGTTGGAGTCATCCATCAATTGTTTCTTGGGCTCACCGCGCTCCACAACTTCAAGAGATGGGACTGGAAGCCTGGACAAATATTGAACAACATAATTGTCAAACATGGTTTACTTTATTCTCTTTGGAACCTGTCGAATAAACAAAACTATACGTGTTTTTTTCTGATACCAATGATATTGGGAGAACACCGAACTTGAAACATCAATTGCATGAGATGGATGTTCTTAACTACTTAACCGTATTTGAAGCGTGATGTGCTTTACAAATATATGCAATTCTTAGGGTGAAACCATGCAAGTAGAGTGGATGTGTCCGACTGATTGTCAATGACAACAACATGTGGGTCAACGTAAAAAGTAGGTCGAACACAAAAACCACATGCATTGTCTTCCTCCATGAACCAACATAAGCATGTCGACCAATCCCAAGGAAAAGAGAATTTCCAAAACTAATATATGTGTCACAAGTTATGTTTATGGATATGTTCTATTTACAGGGCCATATTTAGTAAGTAATTAATGTAAGTGAGTTTTTGTTTTTTACTGTAATCATATATATATATATATATATATATATATATATATATATATTGGACAAACGATGGTGGAGGGGTGTTAGTGACTAGCAATAATGTGGTTTACATTCGCCTTTGGCGAGAGTCGAACCTAAAACCTCTCACTTACAAGTGAAGAGACATACCACTTAAACTTTAAAACTAAATAGCTTAATGTGTAACCATATCAACTACAAAATAGTATAGGAGGCCAATATTCAGATATTCTCCGCATTAATATTTTACTTCCTCCTCTCTTTTTATGTTACAATTAAGTGAAATCTACAATGCCTCAATATATGAGATGTTTTATTTTAATGGATGACTGAGTTTGCGTGTGTATAAAATTGGGGAGGAGGATTGTCTGCCCTCCTAGTTTCAATGCTCTTCCATGCCCTCCTGTTTTGTGTGGTCACGGTTAAGCCACATCATTATTTTATATTGTTTTTTTATAGATATAATAAGACAAAAATAAATAGTAATATAAAATATTAACGTGGCTTAACCGTGACCACACAATCAGGAGGGCATGGAAGGGCACTGAAACTAGGAGGGCAGACAATCCTCCTCCTAAAATTGGTGCATCACATACAACAGTGTATCATACGATTCTAAATTAAGTAAATCTTTTTTAATGTGCTTGAGATCCCCTGAAACTTTTATATGTTTATTTATTTTCCTCCAAATCATAATTGTCATTCCCTTGGTGAAACATTGTTACAATAGTCTGCCATGTTTCCCGGGGTTGTTTATTATTTCTTAGATTCGGTTAATTACGACGAGAACAATTATTTCTTGATTGGTCTATCTGGTAAAAGCATTTAATTGCAGCCCAGCATATGACTGTCATGTGACCTTATCAATTCAAAGAAATCAATGAATGTGGTCGTCTGAAAAAATTTATGAACAGTCACTTCCAAACGAATTAGGATTCTCTTCCCTCTTCTTTCATCCTCTTTCATCTCCTCCTTTTACATTCTTTATTTTATCTTTCTCTTTCTATAAAATTAATATAAAATGTTGACGTGGTTTAACCGTGATTATTCAAATAGGAAGGGAGGGAAGGAGAGAGAAAAACAAGGGGAGAGAATCATATTCCCTTCCAAACAGTGTGCGGATTTATGAATTTTTCTTTACATGAGCAACATTTGGTTAAGAAACTTGGTTAAGATGTTCACTTCATGCATCTGACATCCTAAGTTTGATTTTCTCATTTCTATTGTATCGGTTATATATATATATATATATAGGAATTGCTTAAGGGGAGGGATCCCCATTTTTTCAAAAAAATGGGGACACGCTCCCCACCGTTGGATTTGATTTAAATGAAATCTTGTGGTTGAGATTCTATGGCCTGTGTTTTAATCTCAACCATACAATTTCATTAAAGTCAATCTAACGGTGGGGAGCGTGTCCCCATTTTTTTTGAAAAAATGGGGATCCCTCCCCTTAAGCTCCCTGTATATATATATATATATATATATATATATATATTTATAAACTTATAATGACAAGTTCAAGCTACCCCGCATGCCTCAACATGGAAATTAGTTAGCTTCTTTGCCCTACCTCAATACTCTCAAAGACATTTTGTCAAATATATTGTCTCATGATAGCTGTACTCAAGAGTCTATCAATGGAATGTTAAGCAACTTTAGGGGAAGTAAAAATGGTGAGCGAGGACAGTAACCTTACTCACCTTAATGTGAATCTATATTGCTTATAACCTACGCTTGTCAAGTTTGAGTAAAGACTATATGGCGGTAGATACATCAAATTAATGGATGGCATTTTGGAAGGGTCGAGTAGACAACCCCAAAAGATGAAACTCCCGAAACATTTTAGTACCTCATACAGTATAACAATTTTGTCACTTACAATCTCGAGTGCAGAAATCGTTACCTTAATGAGTACCAGTCAATCTGCATTTATGTATATTTTTTTTCTTTTGGGTAAGTGAGATGTAGGTCACTTATACGCACTGTTTAGCTGCTGGTCTAATTAAGCTCCACTGATGCTTCTGCCTAGAACCGTTGGGTAGATAATTTGGGGGAAATAACCTCAGGTCATCAGAGAAACCTATCAGTCTCACAATAACCCCAAAATTATACCAAAAAGATTCCACAAACAACAACTGCATAACCAGTCATGTCAACTGCAAGCCTACCACGACAGAATCAAACAACCCTACTTTTAGGGTTTTACTTTCTCAATTCACGCACCACAAAAAACACGGTTAAAAAAAATTAACTGAAATAACTAGAATACCTGAAACCACAGGAATTGGTCAAATACATTTAATGGTCAATATAATATTCTATTTTTACATATTAAAATTCCAATTTTTCACCACCACCATATGGCTACGGGGCTTTGGAATTTGTGCATTGGATAATATAAGGCAAGGGATCTAGAAAAAGATTTGGTCTTTCTTTGGTCGGTTGCTATCTGTTGTCCTTTTGTGTTCTTCTGCATCCACTGGTATTGCTTACCTTTATTCATGTTCAAAGCTCCCACTCCAATGGAACTGTAAAAAAGAGAGAACCTTAAGTTTTTGATTCATTTTCCACGTCTGGTTTTCTTTTTCTCGGTTTTTTGCTGCTTTCTTTTAGTCTCTTCACAAACTGGAAAGACCAAAGAAAAAAAGAAAGAGAGCTTTTTTTTTTGGTCAACAAAAAAAAAAAAAAGAGCTTTGTAAGTTATATAAGTCAACAAGGTGGACAATAACAAAATTATGGTTTTTTTTTAATATGTTTCGGTAGATTCTATACGAAATGATTTTTGGCAATTTGGTCGTTCATCAAGAATTCATTGACAAAGATCTAATACACTGAATAATTCATTGATTAAGATCTTATACATCGGAGTATAGTAAAAGTTTCATACAATGATTAAAGGCTATAATAAACACAAGTACGTGGTATTACATTGATTTAACTAGTAATAATCTTATCAATTTGTTATAATTATGTACTTGTTTTTAAGTATGAGACAGGAAATGAGGGCCAACCATATGCTGGTATGCTTGTGGGGCAGCTTTTTTGCATTATAATTAATTCAAAGAACACAAGTTGCTGTTGCTGAAACCACATGGATTATGAAAGTTTTGTCTTTGATCTTCCACATCCCACAACAAGCTCTCACTGTCCTGAAAACGATATATGTTTTGTCATGAACCTCAAGGTTAGAAAAAAATAGTATTAATTAATAATTCATTAATTAACATTTGTTAAGTGATTTTTAAAAGAAAAATTGAAATTGGGTTAACAAATTAAGTCAGAAGTATATACCTGCGAGAAGGTATTTGGCCTTTGAAGTAGATGTGAAGCTGAATTGTCCAGAAAATGATAGTTGTTATTTGTGGTGAAGGCGGTAGTGGCAGCGGCAGTGGTGGCAGTGATATTGGTGGATGTATCAGCAAAAGGTGTGGACTGTATTGGGTTGCATTGTTGCACAGATGGATATGGTGATTCCATGCTACACAATCTCTGCATGGCAAAAAATAAAAACCAAATTGTAATTACATTAGTAATTTTTGGTTCATGAATTAGGTTTTTTGAGAATGAAACTCTCGTTTCTCTATTCCGACTAGAAACGGACGGAAGATTTTCATTCCTGTGTTTGAAAACGCTGTGAAGTGGGATTGAACATAACTGATACTTTTTAACTATGTACCTCTGGTTTAACCACTAAAGCACCCATGTCCATTCCAAAGTCAAAGAACATTGGATTCAAAGAAGCAAGTTTCAGTGAGAGGAACTGATCGAACAAGAAAAAAATAATTAGAAACAGTTGGTTAAATCACATATTCAATTAAGATAACAAATTAACATGTATGTGCACGGATATCACAGTAAAAACTGTACCTCCACTTGATTTTGTAGGGACTGAACATAATTGATAATTTCATCCAGCATGACTGCCCTTCCAGTTACCTAATTTATTTATAATAAAAAGATCAATCACATGAATCTAGTCAGAAAAATTACAAAATATATACAAATAAGGTAAAGACAAGTAAGCAAGAGAGAGAGAAGCTGGTTCCACCTTGTCACAGCCAGGGACAAGTTTTTGCAGCATCTTCATCCTCTCACTAATTTTCTCTCTTCTCACCTAAAAATCCAGAGAAAAAAAGAATACACAATTATGAGATATAATAAAATGGTGGGCACAACAGCAATTTTGGGAAATAAACTGTTGGGTATGTTTAATGAAATTTCATATTTTTTGTACCCTTTCTGCAAGGCTGTGACTATCTGTAGCCTCACCCCTCCTTGCTCTAACATGAATGTAGCCAGTTGGAGGTTCTTCTCTCACTTTCACCTGGTCTTTTTTATCTGATTTAATCTTCTTTTCCTCAGCCTTCTTGGTACCGCCACCAGCCTTCTTTTGCTTCTTTCCCTTATGCTCTTTAGTACCCTAGTGGAGTACATCACCATTAAACCCCCCAAATTTCCGTCATTTAATATCTGAAATTCTGTAGAACTCACATGAAAAAAGGAAAATTTACACATACAAGACCAGTTTTATAGCAGGTACCCCGTTTTGTTGTACGTGATAGATATAAGACCATCATAGAGACCATGTATTCACCATATAAATTTTCACCGTTTTCCTCTTTTTTGTTCTAGAATATGACGGTTCTATACGGCAAATACATGGTCCCTACTGAACTCTACCATCTATTTTTTGCTACAATAAAACGGGATCCCTGCTAAGAAATGGCTCGTATATATATAATATATTATATAAATACCTTGGATTGAGCAGAATTGAAGGATGACCCAATTCTGGATTTTCTCTTCTTGTCCATAGGAGTTACTTTCTGAGTGACCTGCTCACCAATTTCAAGCCTATCCACATCCACAACAGTTGAGGACTCTCTGCTCTTGTTTTTGGTCACAGAAGGCTCATTCTCATTGTCACTAAAAGCAACCTTATGAGTGGAGCTGTGATCCATAGTGCAGCTGCTTTCAACAGCTCTTGAATTATTATCAGCTTGAATTTCCCGGGTTAAAGGCTCAGATGGGTAAAAAGATCGAGAGAAGTTACTGTAAATGATGATGTCATTGGTAGCCGGAGCGTTGGGCAAGAAAATTGAGTCAAGGCTGCCATTGTATGAAAAGGCTGCCATTGTATAACAATATATATATCTGGAGAGAGAGAGAGCTTTTGAAAAATTGGAAAAATGGTTGAGAGAGTTATTTGAAAGAAAGTGATAGAAGAGGGAGGGGGAGGGGGAGGGGGAGAGGGAGAGGGGAGAGGTAGAGAGAGAGAGAGAGAGGAGCAAGTCAAGAAAAGTGGGTTGTCTGCGAGAAACTGAGTGGGAAATGGCTTATATAAAGGTGAGGAGGGGCCGGGACGTGGAGAAAAGGGAGACATCCAAAATATGTATAAAATCTTTTGGTAACTCATTCCCATGCAAATTTTTTTCTGTACATTTGACTAGTCTTATCTCATCAATCCCTTTCTATCTTTTTCTCTCTCTACATAAATATACATATAGATATCGTTGTGTATGAAAGAAAAATAAATAAAAGAAAGAAAACAGAGAAAAATAAACAGCTTATACCATCAACAATGGGTATATATATATTACTTAATTTTGACTGTATATAAAACTAAATATGTTTTTTTTTTCTTTTGATACAAGTAATATTGTGAAATAGAAGAATCACATGCAACTCTTAATCATTTTAGCTATAAGTCTTTCACAGTAAAATATGCTTTATAGTTATCATGTAAATTGTATTAAAATTCAAATACTTTCCAAAAATGTATTTAATGAAAAGCATTTTTTACTCTAACAGGTGTATAAAAAAGTAATACATGCTTCTTACAAAAATACAAGCTTAAATGTACTTTTATAATCTATAAACACTTTTAACGTTTGACGTCAAACGTACTAGAATCACTTCAATATGATAAAACTGGTCAAGAGTTATACGTAACAACATAGCTAAGCTTCTGCAAAACTAATGAGGTGACCATTTTAATTAGCAAAGGACTAAAACATCGTTAATCTACTTTTTTCAATGTTCACTAGCTGGGGCATCTTTTGTACTTGTAGGGATGTAGGACTCTTTATAAGTTTTTGCTAAGTTTTTCCTTTCATCGATATGAGACTCTTTTACCGTCATATCCTCACAGTATTAACTATTTGATTAAAAGTGAAGTAAAATGTCCATGTACATGAGCAGAAACAATTGCACTACGCAGACTGAGACTAAAAGCAACCGATCGACGGGTACCATCAATGAGAAAATATCACCATCAGTACTCAGTAGAAAGTAAGAGAAGTAAAAAGTAAGAAAGAGGGGAAACATTGAGCTAAAGAGCTATCGACGGGTACCCTTAATTTTCTTCTGATTTTTTCTGCCATTATTTGAGATAAAGAGCTAGCTATGGGACTTGGATTGTCTGCCATCTTAGTTATGGTGCCCTTTCATGCCCTCCTATTTTGTGCAGTCACGGTTAAGCCACGTCAATATTTTATATTAATTTTTTAATAAGATAATAAGATAAAAAATAATAAAAATATAAAATATTGACGTGGCTTAACCATGACCGCACAAAATAGGAGGGCATGGAAGGGCACCACAACTAGGAGGGCATGGAAGGGCACCACAACTAGGAGGGCAGACAATCCAAGTCCCTAGCTATGATGATTTTTTTTTATCAGTTTGGTGAAGTACGTACTGCCTATGTCTTGAATTTAATTATGATCCAACGTTTTCTCTTGTTGCACCAAAAATATATACCTCCTGCCTCTTATCCTATTGTAATTTTACATAACTTCTTTTTTGAGATATGGAGTTCCAATCCTATGGCATTTAAAGTGAATCAATCACTTACAAAAAACAAGGATTTGTGTACAATAGAATTCGCATTGTGTTGGAATACTATTTAAACCATGCAATATTGATCTATACCTTAATAGAGAAATTAAGGTGATCTGTCAATCTAATGGTTCGAACGCATTTGTATTTGCATAAGAGTTTTGTTAAAGATCATTAATAAATTAAATTAAGATAAATTTTGTACAAGTGTAATTTTTTTTTTTCATATCAATAAAATTACCTTGTACCATCAAGGTTTTATAAAAATAAATAAAAGTGAATCAAGATCATATATGGCTGAACTCATGTCACGGGGTGAGAAATGCTAAGGGACACTCCATGGATTGTCTAACACCTCACAGTTTAACGTCAATTCTTATCCCAACATTATAAAATATTGTGTAGAAAATATGAGGTGACAAAAAGTACATGGAGAGTCCCACTTTTAAGAGAGCTTCCTGAAATTTGACTTCAAATTATAACTTTCTTTAAATTTTTTCAGAAACAAAAGTAACAGTACTCTTTTGTAGCATTGACATGTCAGTCATCCGGAATTAAACATATGGATGTGTTAAGAATTACATTATATTTGGATGAAGAAATTTAAGATTACTAAGTAATTTTAAAATGACGGAAATTGAAATGAATGGATTTTATTTTCTAGAATTTGTGAATTTTGTTGTTTGGTTAACTTAAAAGAACAATGGAATTGAAAACAGAATTTGTTAATTTTAAACTCCCAATCATAGAAATTGGGAAATGACACCTATTTACATGGAATTTAAACTTGGAAATTGGAGGCCCCAAATTCCAAGTTTTTTTTCCACGCGGAAATTCTAAATTTCTATGTTATGAATCCAAACAAGAAAATTGGTGCATGTCAATTTATAAATTTTGACTTTTATTCAAATTCCAAGTTTATTTTCCTCATTCAAACATAGTATTAAAGATATGGATGCGTATTACTAATTAGGGATTAATTTAGACAAGTTTCCTTAATAGGAACAAATTAGGTCCACCGACTACGCTATGGTTACCCTATTCTTAGGGCATGTCCTGAAGGTCCCCCATTGTTTAGGCCATATACGATGTAGCATTAGGTTCCCCCAGTGCTGGTCCATCAACACAAATAATAGAGACTTTCGCTACAGAGTCAGCCGTGCAAGTTACCCTATTTTTGCATTGCCCGTCGATCAACATTTTCGCATTGTCGCTAGACCGGCATTTTTGCATCAACTGTTGAATGTTGATATATTTAGGATCAAGTTGTCCTTGATTGCAAGTGTAAGTAAGACCCGACATTTTCGCTGCTGCTGTGCTGCGCGCGGCATGCCTCTCTTTTTAAATCCAGATCAAAACGACGTTATTTAGAACTTATAATACTTTAAAAAAAAAAAAAAGCAGCGTCGTTGTCCCGATTAAATTTATATATATAATTAAACGGGGGGACCACTTATGCCCCCATCGTACTCAAGATCTCACCACGAACAAAAAGAAGGCTGCGTGTGCGTCCCCCGTTGGAAGTAGGCAGCAGCATCAGGCCACTGCCTCCGCCGCCAGCCAATTGACCACCGCGCATCGTCGCCCTCCACGGAGTCACCACCAGCCACAGTCAATTTTAGGGTAAATCCCTAGTTTTTCAAATTTTAGTTATTTAAATTCCTAATTTTATTTAATTGATAACTCAATATGAAATTTTGTTAATGATTGATATGAATTTCGTTAAAGATTGACAAAAATTGATATGAATTTTTGTTGATGATTGATATGAATTAGTTGATATTTGAACTTTCTACCCTTTTAAATTTCATTAATTTCTCAACAATTCCTAACATCATTGAGTTATAAATTGTCAAAAAGACAAAAAAAAAAAAAAAAAGGTTTCAGATTGCCTTCTGGCGATGACAGGCGAAGTGCATGAACCAGAGTCCAAGGTAATGTGTACATGTCACGTAAGTCTTAGGGTTCTTTACTTCTTTTGCCTTGCTCTTTTATTTCAACTTTGGAAGTACCATCTTAAGGGGAAACTCTGTACTGTATGCAAATTGGAAAAAGCATCATCATTTCGTCAAAAAAGAAAAGAAAAAAGAAACGCGAGATTTTTCATACTTTTTCCGATTCAAGGTTCAACATCAATTTTTATTCTAACATTATAAATAAAAAATAAAAAATACAAACGGTATCATCATCATCATGATTGGATTGGATTTGTGTATTGTAAGGTATCTTTCAGCCAGGAGCTCTCTGTGCCATGCATCATGCACTGCCATTAAAGCATCATTCATTCAGACGTTTCTAATAATGCCCTATTTTTCTCTTCATTTTTGTACATATGGTAGTGGTCACCTGTCCTCATCAACGAATGAAATGCACGATTAACATTTCACCAAACGGCAAACTGCTCTTTACTATCCTAAACTATTATGTGAGTGTGAATCTACCTGCTTAACTATTTTTTAACAGGTAGTACTATCCACACATTAACTTTTACTTCTCGTACCCTATTTTCAATTTTTAGTCGTCAGATTGAATGAATTGAAGAAAATCAATGACAAAAAATTAACAAGAGAGTGTAGGAGGTAAAAATAAGTGTGTTAATAACACTATCCCTTTTTAACCAATTCACTTTCTAAACTATTTAAAATTGGCCAATCTCAACCAACATTAAGTTTTGGCTTTTTATATTAGCATCCCACAAAATGTTGAATGCAACCCACATTAAAATTTAATATTAAATGACTTATTTACCCTACTATCCAATGGCAATTTTGACCTTATTAGGTTAAAAAAAATAAAAAATTCTATATATACCCCAAATCACTTTTAACGTATTATTTATCCTTTTCAACTATCAAAACCTCTCGACCCTCCATTGTTGAACAAAACCCTAACCAATGAAACTACAAACATGTTGATTGAGAAAATTATTTTTGACGAATGAAACACGAAATTGATGTTTTGGAAGCTTCACATGAGGTAAGACTTCATATTTTTTTTTATTGTTTTAGTGATTTGATGACATCGATAATTATTTAATCTTGTTTTTGATACGTTATTCAGCTCCTGTTTAGTATTTCATCTTTAGGGATCACATGGATTAGATGAAAGAATTAAACACTTAAAATTACCCACCATATTAAAAAATACGACATGGGTTTTAATGGGAATTTTGAAAACAACCCACATATGCTTTAAATCCCAGGACGGCATTCATGTTTTGTCAAATTTCTTAGTGGCATTTTGTCAATAAAGTTAAAAGATTTGAGGAAATGTGGGGTTATTAGAAAATTATGGTGGTGATGTAAATGGTCTTTTCCTATCCCATTATTCCATCGAAATTCCGCTGTTTTGGGACTACGTTTTCGATATCATCGTTTTTAGACCTTCTAAGTCACGTCATTATTTACTTAAAAAATGCAAATGCCAATTCA